TGCACTACAGCGTCTCCCACTCCAACTTCCACATCGTGCGGCTGTTGCTGGACACGGGTCAGTGCCCCCCACCCCCAGAAACGTCCCCCTGCCACCATCCCACGCTGTACCCCAGGTTGCATCCTGGCCATGCCCAGGTATGAGGGGGGAAGATGCTGGCAGCAGAGGGGCAGGGAGAGCTGCCCTGGGCTGTGGCTGGGCACAGGTGGGGGGGTTTGGGCAGCCACCTCAGCCCTTTGGGAGCCCAGATTTGATGGGGGGAACACCCATCAGCAGGTCTGTGCCCGTGGGACAGCTCGCAGCACCCTGGGCAGGGTGGGAGCCAGGCACGTAGCTCAGATGGTGCCTCCCACCAGCCCTGCAGTACCCCGAGCTCCCCCTCTCTGCCCATCCCCACAGGGGTCTGTAATGTGGACCACCAGAACAAAGCTGGCTACACAGCTCTCATGCTGGCAGCGCTGGCGGCCGTCGAGCAGGAAGATGACATGAACGTGGTGAGGAGGCTCTTCAGCATGGGCAACGTCAACGCCAAGGCCAGTCAGGTTGGTGTGGGCTGCAGGGCACCACGTCCTGACCCTCTCCCCCCACCCCCAAACAGCTGCCAGGGCCACACTCAGCTCCTCCAAGGGCAGGACTGTGGCTCCAAAACCTGGAGGGGCCGGTACATGGGGAGGGCATAACATTAGGAGCTCCTTCTGCCTGGCATCAGGGTTCTCAGGTCTCACCCACACCTCATCTCCAGCCAGGGAGGGTCTCGGAGACCATCTGGGCACTGGGGATGGCAGTGGTCCCTCCCTGGGGCAGTGGGAAGAGAAAGTGGCACAGCTGGGGCGGGAGCAGCCTGGCAGCATCCCTTGCCTCGCAGGCTGGCCAGACGGCACTGATGCTGGCCGTCAGTCACGGCCGGCAGGAGATGGTGGAAGCCCTGCTCGCCTGCGGAGCTGACGTGAACCTGCAGGACGAGGAGGGCTCGACTGCGCTGATGTGTGCCTGCGAGCACGGCCGCGTGGAGACAGTGAAGCTGCTGCTGGCTCAGCCCACCTGCAACATCTCCATTGTGGACAGCGTAAGCCTCTGCTGCTGGGGCCTGGGCACACTCGCCCACCCTGCGTCCTGTCCCCAGACCTCCTCCCAACTGCTCTCCCTTCCTTTTTAGGATGGTAACAATGCCGTTGCCATCGCGCTGGAGGCCGGCCACAGCAACATTGCTGTGCTCCTCTATGCCCACCTCAACAGCATGAAGGCGCAGCTGCCCGTGAGTACTGCAGCCCCCCCCCAACTCCTGCCACCTGCCCTGTCCCACACAAGGGTCACGGAGGTGGCACTGCGCCACCAACTCAGCTGCATGGTGGGCAGGTGACCCCATGGGAGGGGACAGGGCTGTGACACAGATGATGCTCCCCAGGAAGGGGCTGCAGGGGCGAGAGCAGAGCGTCCCAGGTGTCACATGCTCCGTGCATCCTCAGTAGCAGGGAACCAGCCCGGCTGGCCCTGACCAGGAGTCACTGGAGGGGTCTCTGGTGACATTTCATGACTCTGCTCTCTCTGCAGCAGGGGACATCACCAACAGCCACAAAGAGCCCTGGGAGCCCAAAGAAACCAAATTAGAGTGACTTTTGGATCCAGCCAGGGGCCAGCCACGTGCCAGCCAGCCACCATCAGCGCTAGGCTGTAACTTATGTCCCCTCTCCTGCCACTCCTTTGTGTGCTGAACCGCTCTCTGCGGCTGCAGATGCTTTAATCCTCCTGTCACTAGAGCAGGCCTCACTTGCCCGCCTCCGCTGCTGGAAGCAGCCCGTGCATGGCCACCTCGCTCCACCAAGTGACAGAGGAGCCAAGCATCAAGTGACCTTGGGGTGGGAAAAGCAGCAAGCGGAAGCCGACCCCATCCCCTCTGCTCCCCACCACGACTGCCAGAGCTGCGCCGCCTCAGAGCCCTCTGCAAGTCGCTAACTCACTGGAAGAGCGGGAACAAACCCAGCAGAAATAGCACCTGGTTTCTGCTCTCTCTGCCAGCTCCCGGCAGCTCCAGGAAGGCAGCAGAGCTGGTGACAGGGAACAGGGCTGCGGGAGGGCAAGCGTCGGCTCTGGACCCTGCTGTGCTGCACGGTGATGGCAGGGAAGCGGTGTTCAGCAGGCGAGTTCTGCGTAGCGATGGGAGAGGGGACACAAACCAGCTGGTTAACACTGCCTCGGATGTGGGCTGGGAGCACTTCCAGACTGAAATACTTGCCCTTCTTTTGTGGCATTTCCTTTCTTGGCTGAAATGAGAATTTTTTCTAGCACACGCACACAAAACAAAAAAATTGTATTGCTTGTTCAAAGGATGGAGTTCAACATGAAATCACTCGGTGATTTGATTTGCTCAATGGGAGCAAAACTTCTGGGCACTCGGGGCTGCAGCCAAGCTGACAGAAGGGGGCCGAGAGCCATGAATGCAGTTAGGGACTGAGACTGCCCAGCCAATACCCCACACCGGGAGCGGGGACCTCCCTTTCTAAGGGAAAGATAGCAATTACCTCCTAAACACTTCCCATTTTAAACAGTCTCACAGCCACTGACTGTGAAGGCAAACAGAGCCCACAACCAAGTCCCTCTCTGCCCACTTTCCTTCCCAAAAGGGAGGAGAGCGGCTGAGGAAAAAAAGATCGGCAAGAAGAACTCAGAGAGAGCCTAGGGCCCACGGAGATGGGCACGTATGTCGGAGGACGTGTGCGCGTTTGTGTGAGTGTGTGTGCACCAGGCGGGGTGGGAACAGACAAGGTAAGGACCAAGGACCAGGAGGAAGAAGAAAGAGGCTTTTGCACGTGAAGCTGGCTCTGCTCTCTGAATCCTTCACAAAGGTAACGCGTGTCACAGCCCCCATTTCTGCTCCTTGGCCCAGCCTCCCCCACCATCGCTCTTGCCCCACACAGGCCTGGTCTGAGCCATACTGTAAGCTGGGAAATGCTCCCCAAGAAACTTGCTCTGGGCAACACGCTGCTGTCCTCGCAGTGGGCCCGTTTCAGCTTTGCACTGAAGTTAACATACGATGCTCCCAGCCACTCTCTAGTACACTGCTCTGTATGTATTCCGTACTCACTGCTTTGGTTTCACAGGTTTGTTTACTGATATTTTAATACTGATGTTTATTTTTAAGATATAAATAAAATTTAAAGTAAAATTATTTTGAAATATCACAGTGACCATCAGCAGTCTCCTGCCTCCTTGTCTGGCTCAAGCTAAAACCCCCAGAACAGCTTCAGCCAAGGGACAGCCTGGCACAGCCCTCGCCCTGAGCAGTTGCCCACGTGTTTCAATTCATTCCCTGAAAGTTTATGAACTGGCTACATCCATCAGTCTGGTTTTCTTCCAGCTGAACTGTCCCAGTCAGGAACCAGACTCCGGTACTGTGGTGTCTTCTGGCCTGTTTCACTTCACAGGACCAAGAGGGACGCTGGGACCAGACGTAGCCCTTCGCTACCCCTGGTTCACCCTGGTGCTCCGATATTAAGCTGCATTATTAAAAGGCAATCATCAGATTGAGAGTGGGGCTATAAAAGTCACCTCCCTCACGTGGCCAAGGGCCACGCCAGCCCCACAGGGATATTCAGGAAGGGCTACAGCTCCTCTGAGCCACCCCCACTACGAGTTTACCTCTGTCTGGCCACCAACTCACAGCTGATGCCTCCTGTCTCGGTCACTCAGCAGTCAGGGCTGGCAGTCGTCAGAGCAAACGCTCTTCGGTCACTGCTAAAGCTGTGCAGAGAACAAACAGCAGCCAGAGAAGTAAACTCCGAGGTGGACTTCTTGCACTCATAGCTGGTTCCCCAGAGCTCTGCTGCGTCAAGCGAATCGGGGGAGCACAGACCCACCCAATGCTCTGAAACTGAACCACCACCAAAGAAGAATCAAGAAGTAGATCCAAGGAACAGCACGAGCACATATTGACAAGGGCTTTCTCTAGAGCACAAAATACACCTCAGGCCGCCCACGAGCTGACCAGGGCACAACTAACACCCACAGGAGGGAAAAAAACCCACAAACACTCTTTCAACGCCAGCCCTAACAGCAATCCTCACTATCTGCCTAAGTTGAGTGATCTCAACATCTGTTCCAGAAGTGCTCTCCTCAGCTTTAGGATACTCAAACCCTCAATCCCACCTGCCACTAAAGTGCCTTAAGCAAGTGCAGGACATTGAAGGATGAAGAACGCTCCCATCAGAGACCGCAGAATCAGGAGCCGCAGACCCGACTTGGTTCAAACACACCACAAACCAGTATCCCTCTCATTACCAGATGGAAAATACCAGTACTTAAATACCAGGCCTTGAACCGTGACAGTTTTCAGGCTCATTCCTAATCCATTCCGCCTTACTTTTACTTTATATAATAGCCTAAACCAGTAAATCTTTCTAGCTGATCATGTGGTGGAAGGGAAAGCTGAGGAAGAAAATAAGTGAGATTGATTTACTAACTCCTCTAAGGGGAGAGAGACAAGCACTCGCTCTCTGTGGGTGACCAGCAGGAAAGACAGCAAGTAGGTGTATTTATAGCAGCATTTATAGAACAGCTTACTGAAGACAGAAAGACAGAAGCAGCAGGCTGCTGCTTTGCAAGCTGGTACAAAGCCTGACTTTCAACTTGTAATTAAATTCCACAGAAGTCCAGTAAGTTTAGCAGTGCCACTTTACCAGTTACGTACAGAAAAACGCTTACCAGAAAGGTTGGGGTTAAGGTTGCTGTAATCAAAACAGAGTTATTTTTGTTGTAAGTGACAGGTTAATAAAAATGCAGGAACACAGTAACATTACAGTGAGGGCACTGCGTGTAGCCCCGGTAATAAGCAGGGTGGGCTTTCATCCCTCTGCCCAACCCAACGAGAGACAGGCGCGTAAGTACCGAGACAAGCCGGAGCACTCACGCGTTCAATAAACGAGACCCAGGCAAGGGGCTGCTGGAAAAAACCCTTTATTGCAGTAACGCGACCGCCACGCTCCTCTCCATCCGCAACCCACGTCTGGCCGAGCAGATGCCAACCGGCCGCTCCGAGTCAACGCCGTAAGGCTTCATCACCTGAAACGCGACAGGGGAGGCCGCACCGGTTTAGACGACGGCGCC